GTAAACGAGAATTATTTAAATTTTTTTTTAAATAGACATATTTTTTAGTTGCATAAAGTGTTATACTCTACACACGATGGATCTTTCATATTCTAAGATAAATTTTCGAAATGTCCTCGTCGGAAGATACGCAGAAATGGGGGTTGGTAACTTATAAAATTTGTTTTTGAATGCCAAAGTTTTTTTAAAGAAAAGAATATAGATTATTATTTAGCCAGGTGTTCCTAAGCATTCCTAGTATTTTAAGGAAAAAAACTCTCAGGACACGAATGACCCAATCGTGTACATTAAGGGTTAATCTTTTGCAATAGTCAAGTAAGATGTCCAGGATTTTTTATATCGATTTTTCTGTTCTATTTCTAGAACATTTAGTAATTTTTTTTATTTCCTTCGTTGTTCACTCCTTGTTCAGGATGCGCTTTATTGTTTACGGTTGTAGTTCTACCGATCTTTAAGCGCCCCATTTGCGGGCGCAATTCCCGTCGAAACCGGAGAATAAATCAATCAGACGAAATGTAATGCGCCGGCTTTCTGGTGTGCTTGCTCTCTCTGAAGATTTATTCCTTTCCTTCCGGTGCAATATACATTTCCAGCCGCATCTCTACACATCGCGATATTTTCAAGAAAAATGTGAAGTTTCTCTGAAATTATTCATTCTTATTTGTCCACGAATATTCTGTGTTTTATATAGAATAATAGCCGCAATTTCAACAAAAGCATACTAGTAAAAGCATTTGTTGAATGATCTTTCACGTCCAGAATTACATTAGGTTCCAGTTTTCGAAGAGTAGAAAATATAGGATGGAATTTCGTTGCAATGCACAGAGAATTTAGCTCAAATGCTTCTTCTTTTCGACGAGAGATCTGTTCTAAATAGTTTATGTCCGCTGAAATTGCGGGGTCGAGATAAGGACGATAGTGTGGTCGACAAGAAGAATGAGATTGCCGGTCTTAACGCATAACGACGTGCTTCGTTACAACATTTTTTAATTTACTTACTTATGGTGACTCAACATTCAGTGGAGCGTAATTTACTTTGAGAAGGTACTAATTTCTCGACAATGGGCGATCATAAATTACTGTTTCCCCTTCTATCTGAAATCTACTCTCCTTTGCAACTGACATGAGAAATATACCGCATAATTCTTGGAGAGTACAGAAATTAGGCTTCAGTGCACAGGACGGTTTTGCTAAAGTATCTAAACATTTAGCTGGATACAAATTTGAAAACAATTTTATTGGATCATCAAAATGACTATGTAACATACTCAAATTGGTTGTTGTCAAAACCTTTTGCAGCTTGCTCATCATGCTTCAGATTTCTATGTAATTATTTTGATAATTCAACATAATTATTTTTAGATTTGTATCTATCTAAATTTTTAGATACTTTAACAAAATTATTTTTTGCATAACATTCGCAATATTAAAATACATTTTGTTTGTTTCTTCGCACTAAAAGAAAAGTGTTTGGTATTTGTGACTATAATTGCATGGTAAAATAATTATGATTAGGAGCTTCATTTTTATGATTATTTCTACTATAATATTAGTAATAATAACTATATATGTATGTTTTTTCAAACATAAAAAAATTCTGTTAAAAATTGCAATAATTTCAAATATTAATATAATATAAAAATTATTTATATTAAGATATAAATAACAAAATAAACGTTTCTATTTAATAAATGCAATCGCAATTATAGTGAGTATAACTATTTTCTTAAATTCTCTTGCTATTTATGTGGTAATAATAACCAAAAGATACGTTAAGAAAATATTAAAGATTTTGAAGCAATATATGTGACTATTATTAATGCGACTCCAAATGACATGGCCAATGTAACTAATATTAGCAAATATTACACAAACGCACATACATGCATAATTATCACATAAATGAAGACCAATATTTAGCGAATGGAACAATTGATTATGTTTATATGATTAAAACAACTATAAATGTATAACTATTATTGTTAACATTTTGTATTATGAGTTCGTTTCTAACTTTTTTTATTATTAGAATTTATGTTGTAGTTTTCAATAAATAACGAGCAGGTTACAAATAATTTTGCTTATAAATATATAGTTATAAAAAAAACGACTATAAATTATAGTCAAATTATGGTAATTGCAACAATTTTTTTCTCTCAGTGCGAATATATTTTCCCACTATTTTTTTTTTAATTCTCTATAACCTGCAGATGAAACGAATTATTCTCCGGCGTAAAGCAATATTTAGAGATAGTCAAGCTCTGTGCGATAAAGGATAGGGGGATAACGTGTGCAAGAGTCAACAGGGTCAGCTGTCTTGCTGAAAGATTCACGACTTTCCTTAGGAGCCTTTTCTCGTGTTCTCCTTCAATGTCCTACGTTTTACCGTTCATACATCGCCTTATAAAATCTCATCGTCGTTCCATTTCTTATCCTTTATGAAAGTGAAACATTTTCTTCTGAAATAATTAATTCGAAACGCGACTCTGTATCGAATCGCAGAGTAGTTTTTAGAGTAGAGACAGTAATTTTCATAAATTCGAATGAACATCGCATGAGCGTAATTTTGTTTGTGGCTTCTTTGTTTACGTCAACACGGAGATCTACGTCTTTCAATACTCGGCATCGCTCGGGATTTCTTTGCAGCAAAGTTACGCGGTACGCGGTCTTGCATATCACCGCGAGCAATTTAAAAACTCCAATTCTTCTTCCCCTTGCCTTCCCGTGAAAGTAGAAGCCCGTTTTTGAGGCCAGATAATTAACTTTGAAACACAAGTTCCGTCAAAGAACAACGGCGACGCCAGTTTCCGAAAGTTTGAAAGAAAGTCTGAGCGTAATATCGTCCATGCTCACCCTCGTTTTAATTCCTTTGTTTCCGCAAGAAATTCGCATACCGATAATATGCCTTTCGAGGCAAACGTTTGGCATTCTTCGTGTTGCCGCGGCCCCGATTGCGGTGCAATTTCTTTGCTTTCGACTAATGGAATTTCGAGGCTGAAACTCTGGGTTTTCATATTGCTGAAGTATTATGTTTGAACAGTGTATTTGCGATGAATCGGGTGGGCCGGCCGACCTTTAATCGCAATTTAACTGTGCTTTTGTGCAATACGCTCGCACGTGGGCGCAACGACGAAAATGTATAGAAGGTGTAGTGAAACCAGGATGTACCGATTACATAACGCCCACCTCTCGCTGGTTCACAAAATTTCATGTTAACCTTACTCGAAACTTTTTCGCATAATCTTTCTTGCCCGATTTCCCATGCTACTTATGAAAATTTAAGTTTTAGCATTTTCATCCGGTGATCTTTTGATCTTCCTTGTATTTCTCCCGTTCCCACCTGCTTTATCTTTTTACTCCTTTTCAGATAATTAAATCGATCTATGTATAAGAAGAGAATAACGATATCTGAATAATCAAAATTTTTTTTTAAACGCCTCACCAAGAAAATACATTAGTATGTAACTGTATATTGTAAGAAAATTTATTTTTAATTGAAACATTAGATATTAAGGAACATAAGATACAAGCAAATGTACATACCTTAATAAAAAAATTATAAGCAATAAAAAAAGAATTGGAAAAGCATTAGAAAAATAACTGGGTATGCCATAAAAAGGCGTTTAAAAATTAAAGAGATGCTGGAATCATTTATTATATATTATCGATAAAAGCACTTTTCTATTTTTTTTTCACTTTACTTACGAAAATCCTTCTCTAAAATAAAAGAAAAAATGCCAAATGTGAAAAGATACAAAATTATATATGAAAAACTAAAAAAGTTATTGAATTATATGTATATATAGTTTTCTTTTATCACGTAGGTTATTCTTCTTCACATAATATAAGTGATTCTAAGTAAATAATCAAACTAAAAGTATCTGTCCGCATATAAATAATATATAAGGGTATTATAAGAGCTCGAGTTTATGACTTTGAAGCTTATAAAAGAAATAAATAGAAAAATATGATCTGAGTGTATTAAACGTACATGTACCTCGTATACGTACACTTAGATCGTATTTTTCGTATTTATTTTGTAAGAGCTTCAGAGCTTATAAACTCAAAATCCTATAATATTTTTATATATTATTCAAATGTGGATAGATACTTTTAGTTTAATTATATACCTATTTAAAATTCAGTTTGATTATATTGTGTACTTAAAAGGTAACTGAATAAAATAAGGTAAATTAAAAATATCTTATATGGCCTACTTAAGTTCTGTAATTTTTAAAATTTTTTGCTGTAAAAAATTAAAAACTGATGATTCAAAAGAGAAAATTTCTAAACATAAAAGAAATAGACGTAAAAATAGATAATTCCGTTAGAGTTCGACCATTACTTCAGCATCCCCTTAGTGGTAGCGTGCGATCACGATATTCTGTGGATCTTTTTATTTATTTTCTGAAACAAATGTGCACGACTGCACCAAAACGCGAATGAATAAGTAATTCCTTCTGTATGACCGACTGTACGCCGATTATTTAAGCAACATCGTCCTAATCTTACTTTCTCGGAGCTTATCAAAAATTCATAAGCACTCGAGCAGAGGTGAAATATGTAAACGCTTTAATATTGCATCCAAAGGACGTGACACTTTCAGTAAATCTAACTGAAGGCAGGGATTGCGATGACAGCTGCAAAGCGACTCACATTGGACTCAATCAGCCATTTTTATCGATCTCCAATTTACTTTATACGCACCCCTATAATCGATATAGTTACTGAATCAAACGCTACGCCGTGAATGTGAATACCGCATATCATCCCTTAATACGAAGTGAATTCTATAGCAAATTTTACAGTTCGATAAAAGCGCTATGACATTTATTTGAAGAGCCACAGCTCTGTTTGAACTCGATTTTCCATCTCGAATTTCCGTCAGATATCTTATTTTCGTTCCGTTTTATCACATTTCGGTGTCCGATCGGTCTCCGTCGCGACAATGTATTCTGCAGTCCGACGCGTTGAAAAACCGAATCTCTCTTCCCTGTCAGGTTTTCACCGGCGCGGCAACGTGTTTCTACGCCTTCATTGGCTTCGACATAATAGCCACCACCGGCGAGGAGGCGACGAATCCGAAGAGGAGTATTCCCCTCGCTATAGTCTCGTCGTTGATCATAATTCTCGTCGCTTATGTCACCAGCAGCATGGTCTTGACACTGATTGGTGAGTAGATCATTAAACAATGATAATCGATCGTTTGTTGGCTCTCATTAATGGAAACGCTTTTATTCATCTTTCGCGACAGACACGGCAGGACGACGTGCCCGCTCTTTTGATTTTATCGCTGAGTTTTTGTATCCACTTCTGAAATTTGAACAACTATTGACACAATGAATGCAGAGAAGCTTTAGAAGCTACGTTAATGTAACCAACTCGTAAAGAAAAGAAAGGACATTAAAAAAAATTCAATATTAATTGTCGTATTTAAATTTTAATAGATAAACATTTTTTAAATAATTATTAATGAGACACATAAACATTATTATTGTATTTATGGTATAAATAATAATAACACTTGATGTATAACATCACATGAGATCACAATAAAAATTATACAAACTTATAAGATCACATTTTATGTTTTAAAATTGCACTTTTCTACTCAATGTTACTTATGAATAATCTAGGTTTTTTAATAAAAAGTCATAAAATTCTCCACACGTTAGTTGAAAATTATATTTCACATTTATTATTGTTACACTTATTATTTTTACACTTAAAAAAAGGACCAATTTATAATCATATTTTTAATTTGAAACAAAATTTGGAACTCTTTATAAAGTGGAATAAAGAGTTAAAATTTGGGATTTCCTCTTAATTGATTGGTCACCTCAAACTACATGCCTTTTTGATCTCTATTGACGAATCGAGAATTGTTTCCATCTCGTATTGGGATCGATTTTACAACAACTCTGTATTGTATAACAATGTTTGGCGAAGCGATGAAACTAAAATTATTGCGAAACTTATTCATAAAGCAAATGAGAGTTGTTGAAACTTTGACATTATTGGCTATTGTATGAAATGTATTATTGTTACGCTTCATATGAAATTGTTACTATTGGCACAATGATTGCCGGGGAAACTCGTAGTCAAATTTACGTGGAACGGTAGTGTCTTGCGGGACAGAAGCACCTTATAGTGTTCCCAACATGTATTCGAGTACCTCGTGTTTCAGTTCCATACGATCAGGTTGATCAAGATTCAGCGTTGGTGGAAATGTTCGGCCAAGTCGGGGCCTACAAGTGCAAGTACATCGTCGCAGTCGGTGCGCTGGCAGGCCTGACGGTCTCCATGTTCGGCAGTATGTTTCCGATGCCTAGAATAGTCTACGCGATGGCTCAGGATGGCCTTATATTTCGGTAACGATTAAGACACAGGATAACGTCGGATAGCGGAAATGACGATGAGAGGAATTATTAAGAACAGTTAAGATCGTGAATGTAATTTTGGATTTAACGTGCTCGTCTTTCACTTTCGCAGGAGCCTCAGCCAAGTTTGGCCGGCGACTGGCACTCCCGCAATTGCGACTTTAACTTCCGGCATATGTGCAGCTTTCGCTGCGCTGTTGATCCAGCTGGAAGTGTTGGTGGAAATGATGTCGATCGGTAAGATGTTATTTAAAACGACTTCCGATTAATCTAGAATGGAGTGAATATATAACTTTTTTGTCATATTTATTGATTATCGACCGGTAGGGAGTTCCGAAAAACCATTAACATAAAATTGCATGGAAAAAAATTTACACGGAAAAAACGTTTTTGTTGAACATTTAGCTAGATAGGTTTGAAAATAATTTTGTTGAAACATCAAAATAGTCATGTAAAACGCTTAAACGTTGATGACAATGCTGTAAAAAGTTTTAACATTCTAGTAACCAATTTAAGCGTTCTACATAATTATTTTGATGGTCCAAACAAAATTATTTTTAGATCTCTCTAGCTAAATTTTTAAATACTTTAGCAAAAATGTTCTTTCCGTGTGATTAGATCTTTCCATTTTTGTTGGTTGAATCCAAGTAAGCTTTACGTTTCTTGCACATCAGATTTACAATCTGTTTTTATATAATTATATACTTAGCTAATTATATTAATCTCATATTCATTTTTGAACAGTTAACATTTGAATAAATATAAGTTTCTTTAAATTTTCATTATATACTTTTAAATTTAATAAATATTTATATACTTTTTTATGTTTGTAAAATCTTTTCTATAGTTTACAATTTATTCCAAGCGTCCTGCATGCTTTATTGCGTTCGTTAAGTGTTAAAACTGTCGCAGGAATTGAAGTATAATGGAATAGCAATTAGTGCTGGGAAGAACCACGTTTATGTTCTTGTTCGCGGTTTAATGCTATAGGTACCTTGCTGGCGTACACTCTGGTGTCCACATGCGTGCTGATATTGCGATATCAACCGCATTCGACGAATCTGATCGAGTTGCTGCCGCAGAGCTTGCGGACGCCTTGTCGATCGCCCACGAAGGAAACGCAGGGCAACGGCCAAGTGACTTACGGCAAGGAGCTTAGGCCCGATCAGCTTACAACCGCATTGAACTCGGTACAAACGTCCCAGTCGGAGCTCACGACCACCAACAATGGGCAGCGTATCACGGTGAGATGTGTTTGCGTTTGCGTGTCAAAAAACAACGAAATCGCATAGTCTACCTCCTTCGCCGCGTAATTGAAGAAACTCTTCTCGTCTCAACGAGAAAACGAGATTTTCTCCCCTCGATTTCTGTAGCTTTTCCGTTTTTCGTTTTCGTATAGCTCCATTTCGGCAGACCTTTGCACGCGCTCCGTTCCGTGCTCGACATTTTCTTGGAATTAGACCATTTCCAAAGTACATTCATCTTAGATGTTATTCTCAAGGGATTTCTTAAAAGATTTTCCGTCTTTCTGTCTTCCTCCCTTATCTTTTAATAGAGTTAAAAAAATTTTTTGTCAAGCAAGAGTAAAGATTCATCTCTTTTACCATTAAACTTTTCAATATAATTAGCAATTCATTTCTCTTTCTTTTTTATTGAATTTCTTCTCCATCGACGAACAAAATTGGATCAATCGCGTAGCGGAATGCAGGAATGAATTGAGGGGAGGTTGCACAATTTTGAAATTAGTATCGTTCCAGGTTCGGCGAGTGAGGAGGTGCAACAGTTCGTCACCGGATTCGGATGACACGTACGGCGGCGAGGAAGACGAAGTGGGATTGGGTAAGGATGATCAGTATCTCGTCAGCGACAGAACAGAGAACAAATTCTACGGCAGCGTGCACGCGGCTGCGGCCGCCTCGAGTTGCGGTAGCGCTCATCAGTATCCCGGAAACACGCCAATCATAGGGCCACCGTTGAATTACCTACAGCGTCGACTGCAGGTAAAGATCAATAATCGAAAAACGATAGCTTGGTGAAATAAAGTCACCATCCCGATTGTGATACCCTCAAAAATAATAGACTTCTACCCGATTGTTATTATATTTACTTAGTACAAATATCTTTTATTCTGTATTAAAATTTTACATAACATTCTACACATAGATATAAACCGTTAAATAATAATAATAAAATTCATGTCAAATGATACCCAATTACTCTCTAAATTTCTTAGAGTGAAATCTCACTCGAAAAGAAATACTGCCAGTATTGAAAAAGAATGAAGAATTTGTACTCTTGAATAGGGCAAATTTCCACTCTTTTGGAGTGAGATTTTACACTTTTTGAGTGAGATTCACTCCAAAAAAGGAGTGAGGTTTCTTTCCTTTGAAATGAATCTTTCCAAAAAAGGAGTGAAAATCTGTCTTATTCAAGAGTGCAAATTTTTTACTCTTTCAATAGTGGCAATATTTTAACTCCTTTGAAGCGAGATTTCACTCCAAGAAATTTAGAGAATAGCCACTGCTCCTATCCAATTTATCGTTAATTTGACTAAAACAATGGAGTCAACAGTTTAACTCAAGAAAATGTATTCTTGACTCAAATTTAATTATTTACTAAATGTTAATATAGACGATATGTTTACTTTGAAATTACGGAAATGAGTTGATTTACATTTTGATACATGGAAGTTAAAAATAACAAAATTATTTAACTCAAGAGATGGGATTACCGTTGACTCTTTGATATTTAACAGTTTATGAACGTGTTTACTTCATCAGATTCCATTCACATAAAACATTTTTTCCGACACTGCGATTATTATGAAGCTAATGAATGGTGACATTTCGTAGGCGGCGCAGTACCTTTGTCCTGCTATATTCCCGTGGGTGGACAGAGGTCCTGCGACAGAGGCGTCAGGACGTTATGTTATGAAGCTCGTTGGGATCTTATACGTCTTGATCCTTATTTTTGACTTGATTATCGTCTGTGGGATGGGTGAGAACTTTATGCTGTTTTTAATACATTAATAAATATTGTGAAATTAATTAATTCCGTAAAATATTTCGACACGAATAAGAGACGAAAAAAGTGTGAACATGTAATAAATATTTAGCTCGTATAACATTAGAAGGATATATTTCTAAAACATAATACATATCTAAATAATTCTACAAAATTGTTTTAATTCTTTGATTAATTTCACGAATCGTTGTAAATATATCTATTGAGAATCGATATATTTCAGTTCTTTTTTCTTTCAGGTAACATGGGAACATTTACAACGATATTACTATTCTTATTTCTCTTTGCCATAATTGGTATACTTCTCGTCATCAGTAGAAAGCCGCAAAATAGGTAGGGTTATGTGTAAATCGCAATCCCGTAAATCCGCCAACTGTGAAGCGTGAAATGGTTTAACAATCTAACAATAAGTATTAATTCTCTATATTTCCTTTTTTGTTTCAGGAGCAGCGTAATGTTCATGACTCCAGGCTTACCCTTCGTCCCCGCGATCGCCGTTACCGTTAACATTTATCTCATCTTCAAGCTCAGCATCCTCACCTTGGTCAGGTTCACAATCTGGATGACTCTCGGTATAAATTTATATTCATGTTACATATAAAGTTTTATATACAAACTATGTGGACGCGCGGAGGTCTGATTTTTAAGTGAAATGATAACGTTTTTACTTTTCTAATTCCTTCCTGCGAATCTCACGATCAATCGAAACACTGCTTCTTGTATCTGCCATCAGGTTTCATCATGTACTTCCAGTACGGTATCAAGAACAGTAGCCTGGAGGAGGCGAACGCGTCGGAGAACGTTGACGATGTTGTCGTTGGTGGTACGGCCGGCAACATCGAGTTGACCGTAACCGATCACCATCAGCGGCAACAGCAGAAGCAGTATTCGCCAGACCACAGCATTTACGAGAGCCAGCAGCTGGACGCGTTCGGCCAGCCGGTGTTTGGCAGCACGAATTTCGGCGGCACGCCGAACCAGCAGCAGCATATCGGCATCGGCGGCCATCAACAGAGGCAAACGGGGGCGGCGGGAAGCGGACGCCGCATCGACCAAACCGCGTCAACGACGACGGGCAAGAACCTGTTCATCGATCAGGATAGCTTCCCCACCTGGGACGATTGAGGAGCACCGCGCGCGGTACCGAGAATGGATATTAATGTATACTTAACACACGAATAGAGATGGGAAGAGAGATATTATTACTACTACATACATCTGGCAACACGTTTGCGCGCGTGCGACTGGCATCGGGCGATTACCGGTGAAATTAGACTCCTCGGAGATCGCAGCGGTTTTGAGCTCAAACTTGGAGGGTTGCATAAAGTTCTTTCAACACGCGATGAGCTGTCAATAGTTATCGAGAGTTCGATGTGCTCAAAAAGATTTTAAAAAATATTTTACAGATTTCCCGAGTTTATCCAGAATTAAATTCGTAAAAAGAGACAAAAAATAAGTTAAATTACGATTGAAGTTAATTTTTTAGACTTCTTTTAGACTTTCTTGTAATTTGGCTTCAAAATTTGTATCGGAATAATATATATTTATTATTATTATTTAATATATATAATATTTTTTTGTAATCGCCACACATTGATACTCCTTTTTTTGGAGGTGAGTTTTTATTCTTTTACATTTCTAAATTTTAATTTTACAGAAGAATTTTGCACGCGAATGGAACTCGTTGGAACAGTTATAAGGTGTCTATAAGAAATAAGTTGGTCTCCTTAAAAATGCTCGATCGTTTGCTCGAAAGTTACATATTTCCATACAAAGTACACACGATGGAGATCGTCGGAAAGAGATTTGGTCGGTGTGATGTAAACGAGGAGACCAAGAACCGCGATACTCCGGGAGTCAGACTTGTTGACTATTTGGGACGAATGTAGCAAATAATATTGCGGCAATATTTATTATTCTAGTTGTATAGTACCGTCGTTGACGAGATCGCAGTCGAAGAAGGCGGTTGGGGATAGAAACGGGTCGAGAGAGCATTAGCTGTAATGAGGATAGAAAGAAAGAGGGGAATGCAGAAAGAAAGATGAAGAGACCATTACCATTATTAGTATAAGGCGAAACTTGTGTTTTCCAAGAGAGCGTTCTAACTGCTAATATAAGTTCAAAAATTTATTGCTAGTCCGCGAATGGGAAACGAATGCGAGATGAGAATGAGGTGTGTCGTCGGAGCGATAGGATGAATGAAAAACACTAGTGAGAATGAGAAAGAAAGAAAGAAAAGCGAGAAAAGCGAGACAAAGTAAGAGAAAGAGCGAGGCGTGCCTGAAAAAATAATGAATAAGAAAAGAGAATGTACGAGAGAGAGAGAGAGAGAGAGAGAAAATCTATAGAAGAGAATACTTTAATGAAGAAAAAAGAAAAAAAACAAGAAAACGTCATCTTTTGCCTAACTTTAGTCTTTCCCAAAAAGAAGAAAAAAAAGAAGTCTAGTCTAACATATTATAATCGTATATCTAAGCTTACTACAAATACTTACATACGTCTTACCTCGAGTAAACCCTTTGATTATTAATTTACACGCAATTTGTATAAATTATCTAGGATTTAAGCGCGCGTCGCCTCCCAACGATGTAGAACGAAGGATTGAAAGCGAATATAATTAATTAAGCTGCAGGAAAATTATATCGAAAAGAAATAGGATGAGGATTTACTTTTCCGGCTCTGTTTATTTCAAGGATCAGAAAATCAAGTTTTCGTTCAAAATCGAGACACGTATTGGGATAAATTTTGAAGAGAACAAAAGAAAAAGCAAAGGCTAGACGATTTATCTTCGAAGAAACGAATTTTCCTCTCGATCGATTTTACAATTCGTTCAATTTCTTGTGGGACTTCGGAGATAGACGGGAGACGACGCGAGGTAAGATTTCGTTTTCGTGTATATCTTCGGTGTTTCCAGACAAACCGTTTCTTCGTACGTACGTGCACAAGTCCGTTGTGCTTCTCTGTCCGCTAGTGTGTTCCGCGCGATGAATCGAGGATAGCCTTCGATACTCCCGAGTAATTACGGTCGGGAGGATGCACGACCGCGTGTCTCTGATACGAGCGAATGCATACGTGATTATGTATTCACACCACGAGTGAAGCTCCAATTTGCCTAGATCAAGATATAATTAAAGACTATCGAGGATACGTGCTGTAGACCGAAATGATCCTTCTTTTATTCTATAAACTATTTTTTTCCTTTAATATTCATCCGCTTTATTAACATCTCATCCGCGTTATTAATTCCGAAAGATCGATCATCGTTGCAAAGTAATCCGCGAAATATCTCGAAGTACCAAGGAGGCGTGACACGCGACTGCGATAAAACACAGAAAGCCATAACGCGGAATGCTTATCGATTGTGCATTGCGGAACAATCAAGTATAAAAGTCGCCGGTTTACTGCAAGACGCGCGATTTGAGTCACGCAGCAGACGCTTTTATTACACAAATAACTTTTATTACTTCATGATCTGTTTTCTTCTTTGCGAATATGTGTCTGAAGCAGGATGTATCCTTGCGTTGCATTGTTGATCGCTATGTTATCGTTTCGCTTATAATGGAGACATGCGTCGTGCATACTATTTGACATTCGATCGTGCATCTTCCAGGCGGGCGTCGATGCGTCGAGCGTCGATGCATCGTCGCTCGAACGTTGGGCAAAGTCGTTGGCAGGTACGACGACTGCCCCCCGCGATCGCTTTCGCGAAATATTTCTTCTCGTGTCTATACTTACTTTCGTCCAGCTGCTCCGCCACTTTTACTACTTCGTTATAGGACGCATCATCCGCATTTCCGTGTGCGGAAGTCGTCCCGCGGCTCTCGAGTCGCTCAACATTCCGCGTCCCTTTCCCACGTGAATGACGCATTCGATAACGAAGCGACGACAGAAAGGATTCAGGGTGTTGACGATCGACAACTTACAAACAAATTTTTAACAAAATTGTTTCACAATATTATGATTAGATTATGAATTAGACTACATTGATAATTAGATTACGATCATCGAGCAGCAAAACTTTGTTCAGAGAGAGAAGCAGGGCCACAAAACTGAAAATTGTCAGAGAAATTGAAAAAGGTTAGAGAAATCAAGAAAAAGTCAAGGAATTTTGTAAAATTTCTGGAAAATTAAAATGTTTAACTTTAAAGAAGTTTAATATATGTACATCTCATCTGCGCAGTTTTGGAATGCTACCAAGTTAACAATTAAAAATACAAGCAGTCAGCAATATTGATAGTAATTTACATTACTATTGTAAATTCATCTTTCAACAAAATATTTAACGGTTTCCAAATCAAAACGAAGATACAAAAAATTTTAAAATATTATTTAGTCAGGAAAAATTATGAAATTTTATTTGGAAATCAGGAAAAAGTTATGAAATTTTATGATGAAAAATTTATGACAATCCTGAGAAGAAAAAAAAGCAAACAGGAGAAATGAAAATTTTTATCACTCACGTGCATGCAAACGATATCTTTTTTATATACATTTATCCAATTTTTATTACATATATATTCGCGTTTTATAATTTATACGGTATGTCTCATTTATCGCATCAAGAACGAGCTCCAAAGCCGATCGTTCACCCTGATCCCCCTTTAGGTCATCACGCATAGGTCTCTCAACGAAACCGATGGGATCCTGATTAATCTCGCGAGGAAAGAGGAAAAAAAATATATATATACACACATATATCTATATATAAATATATATATATATATACACGTATATTCTCTGTGATCGAAACACTGTACATCTCTAACGACGACGATAAACGTCGATCGTTTCGCGTTCCAAACATAAAATTGATTGGAGGATCGAAAGGGGAGATACTCGACACGCTACAGGGGCAGGTCGAGTGCTTAGTTCTCGCTTTTTATTCTCTACATATCGATCGGAGTGATCCTTTCACACATATCAGTCCTGCACACATTCGCGGAATCGTCGCGTGATCGCGAAGTTAGCCTACGCCGCCACGTACGTCGACGACGCACGTTCCGCAGAATACGTGTAGCACTTTGTTATACGTAGAATACTTTATACACAAAACTGTTCGATTTTTTAGATATAATACATATCAGGGTGATCATAAATTCGCTATGCGATCACGATAATTAATATTAGTTTGCAGTTCATTGTCTGAAATGAAAAAAAAAATCGTACCTTAGCTCTTCATCTGAATTCGACTTCACCTAAATTTTGGACTCAAATTAAACTCTTTAGTAAAATTTTGACCTAATTAAATGGAGTTTTGACGCGCGCGTAAGTTAAATATTAAAATATGTAATACAATACTTAAGAATTTTGCGCAAAAGTTGCGTCTGAAATTAAAATTACAGTTGCATTAAGAGAAAACTGAATGGCCAAATATATTGGCCCGATTTTATTAAACGGAATACAAGCGCAAATTTCGCATTTGCGATGCGATTTGCAATGTATCCGTTCCTTTTCTTTTTATCTTGATCCTCTACCCCTGTAATAATGTCGCGGATATCTTAGGGAACTGCTTAATTGCACTGAGCTTACCGTCACCGTGAAGTGTCCTGCGAAAACTTGAATCATAAATCTTACATGATTTATAATTCATTTAATATATTTACGTGACACTTTCCTGAAACGAAGCACAAATTTTGGTCGTTATGTATATATTTTATATACGTATAATGGATTGAAAAACATTGCTGAGCAACTTCGAGAACATTTATCCAGTATCGAAAGAGACGTGTTTCTGAAATAAAATGAGCGATTAAGAGACAAGGTCGCACGCCTTCTCGGTGACGTGATTCTTATTGCGAGCAAAATTGTGTTACTCTGGATATCCGTTCTGTCAATCGTAGAATTGCGTTATCGTGATTCTCGACGGATAGGAGTTTACTCTGTGAAAGAACAGTGCCTGTATACATCTCTTCAGACGTTAGACGAGACGTTAGAGATCCCTTCCTTAAAACGGACAAACACATGGCGGTTGAAAGGGCGAAGTTAATGAAGGAGTTATGTCGCATTTTCAAATTTATTCTTTAATTTAATTTCTTTAATTCTTATTTATTAATTAATTTAATTTTACACTGAAACTCATTAAAAATAATTCACGATTTGCAAAAATTACATTCCTACAACTATATGGAAAAATATTTGTTTTTATTGTATGAATAAATTGGGAAGTAACTACATATAAAGTAACTGTCTTTTCGCAAATCTCTTCAATCGAACTTTAAAACCGGTAACGTTAAAATTTTGCTTACGACATAGCTTCCTCGTATTCTTCAGCCTGTCAAATCAAGTATGCTACTTATACGAATAATATTGTTAGCAAGCAGATCCATTGAGATTACGTCTCGATGTATCTCAGGAGAATATAGGACTACATGCTAGACAAATAGCAGAACGACAAGGAGGACGCGGCGTTTTACTCTTTGCTCTTTTAGTTAGTCTTTCGTATTCTTAGATAGGAGGAAATGGCCTATTGCACAATGTGGCGGGACGACGTCGGTCGAGGTACAAACCGCAAAGTAAAATTTAAGTCAGAGAGACTCCAGTAACAAAATTTCTGCCTCATAAAGGTGGAAGAGTTGAAGCAACCTGAACAGTCTGAGAAATATCCGTAGACATTCGCAGGATGTCCGAGGAATATCTATTGTTTTTTTTTATGAGACGTTTAATTTGACGAGGTTTTGCATCGAGACCGGCGGATCCCGCACAGATGTCACGTGTGTACCTTGAAGTCGCAGTAAACTCACTGTGAATACCTTGAGAGTTTCGACGGCTGTAAGTTGAAAGTATTAGCTCCCGCGAAGAGACACGACACGGAGAAATATCGCACTTTCAGTCGAGGAAAGTGACAACTGCGAAAGCGCTGCGAAATCGCCATTTGTCTTTTTTTTTTTAAAAGGGTAGACAAATATCTCTAGGGTTGTGTTCAGATTCCCACTTGAGTGCCACTCAAGTGTCATTTTATCCTTGTTTATCGAATGTTAAATAAGGATAACATATCTGAGGAGCACTCCTGTGGGATTCTGAATGCGTTCCGATATGTGGTACGAAATGTGAAAACAATGTAAATGGTGGCACTATCGTTGTGCATATACTTGGCAATAATAAACAATTTAGATAATTATTTCCTTCCCTTTTTAAACGATTTGCGAAAAATCGACTTGTGATACTTGCGATAATTCTTCTCCTTCTTTTCCGTTGGAAGTGCGATATATGTAACGATAGGATAAGCGATTAGCGAAGAGCAATTCGTCTTTGGATCATAATTGCGAGCGCATACTCGTATAAATGTACGAATGTAGGGCTAACGAAGATGTACGTTCCCCATAAAAGTGAAGCATTAAACAATGACAGGAATGTAAGAGTCTTATCTTATAACAAAATTAATTTAATAGAATACAATAGAATATTACAATTCTATACGAGTGTCGAACATACGGCATTGCAACGAGTGAATTGGTGCAAAAAAAAGTTATTTATTTTCTATTTTCTCTTCACTAAAACCCCTCTCTGCGAACAGATGAAAATACAAGAAGAGTGTATCATGTTCTCGTCATTCTAAAAGTATGCAACTATCTCGTATGTGTGCAGCGATATGTGACGGTGTCGATGGAATTTGAGGCTGCATCTGCGTGACGCGTTGCGCATTGTTAATATCTTTGACATGAACATACGGCGAACATTGCGAAAAGCGAGCGATATTAATATTAAATTAACTGGTAGTGATTTCAATCTCCTACGTAAGCAATTTCGCGAAACGGCGTGTAAACACGCGCTTCGCACAATTCAACGTCGCCTTTAATGCGACTCAACATCGGATTTACAAGAGTGCATCGTTCCTGCGTCACTTCGGGCGGATTGATCCGCACTCGCGTGGAAGGACGTACGAACGACCCGGGAAGACGTGAGATTACGAGTCTCCGGGGAAGAATGTCGCACCGGCGATTAAGATGCGTTGTCCGAAAATGGTTATGCAAAAGCGTCCTTCAACGTCGGAAATTCCACGGAGAACGCCATTTTTCTCGTTTGTCGGGAAAGAACTAGACATAAAAAAAAGAATGTTTCTTGTTCTTAATAGAAGCTGAAAGAAAGAGGAAAGCAAGGGAGAGAGAGAGAGAGAGAGGGGGAACGAGGATAAAAGGACGAGTGTGAGAAAGAAAGAAAGAAATAGAGAGAGAGAGAGAGAGAGAGAGGGAGAGAAAGAATGAGAGTGAATGTCATGTGCGTGACGATTACTTTTTTTCTCTCGGGACGGTCGGGTGGTGGGCACTCGAGGTATCTCGGGAAGATATATGCGCACGAGAAGGACAGAATTTTCCATGTAATATATATACCCTTACGTAACTATATACGTTGTTTAATATTGATAAGGATCAAAAATAAAAGTGATTATTCAAAAGCTAAAGCAGTAGGGGGTACGATGTCATTCATTGTTTCCTAAATCGTGTATAAAATACCACGATTCGACGATTCTCATCGTCATCAATATGAATCATTATCTTTCTGAATCAAACAGACTCGTATAATTTTATTCTTTTGTTATTTCTTCCTTTAGGTTTTTTCATGAATTTATCGCGTGATATATTATTTAAATGTTTCCATGTGTTTCCTTTGCCGCATGTGATAGTAAATATTTAACTGCAGCATTAATGAATATAAAATTAGAAATAAAAAGAAAATAAAGACTAACGTAGAATAAACGCAAAATGTAGACGTGATAAAAACAAATACTTCGATCAACAACACAGAAGGCAAGTATAGTTTCAATCTGTACGATATATTAAACTAAAAAAACAAATTATTTTTAATCTTATAGCACTTGCATAGAAAATTGTGAAAGAGTTATTATACGATGTTTCAAAAGAATCGTGGGAAGTTCGATTTAATATATGCTTAATAATCTACATACTTGATATCAATATAAAATGCATAAATTGAGATTAAGTTTAGATTTGATCTAATACAATTTGCTTTGAATACATTGTAATTATTCCGATATCTGGTTTAATTCACTAAATCAACGTAAGTTGATTAAAAAAAATATAGACGAAGCGAAGTAGTAATGTCTGCTCGTTGTCAGACTCAGTAGTTACCAACTGTTATTAGACAGACGACGTTTCTAAAGCTCATTTTAGATTTATCATTTGTAACATAAATTTACATGTTTATTATTTGAGTCAGATTTTTATTCTAAAATCTGACCCGAATTATAGATATTATTTAAATTTATTATAGTTGTAAAAATGAAATAAAACAACATAAAAATCTATAAATAAAGCAAACTAGATTTTTATTTTTTTAAATGTGACACAGTTTATAGCTTTTTGTATTTTATTTTATTTCATATCTTTTATGTCGTGCATTTTAACTAAATGGCATATTTTAATATTTTATATTCGCGTGTATTTTGATTTTTCAATTTTGTTTTTTTTTTATATTGCAGAATATATAAAATTAGAACAAATTATGATTGTAATATTTTAAAATTATAATTATAAACTGTACAAAATAGACGTAACGCTGAAATCATTCCACAATCAAACATCAGTCTTTACTCTTTATTGATTAATTGATTTTACTAAAAAATCATTCGTATCTCTCAATTTCCTGACTCATCGAATCTAATGCATATCACATGTTGCAACATGTGGAATTATCGCACAATGACACGCAAAGTATTCGGGGAATTACTAATAGTATTTTGACGTGATGTAACCAAACGTTGTCTGCGCGTGCCACATGAGGTAAAAGACCACTAGGCATCTACCTTCTACATTTGAGGTGACTTGTTCTCGTCGATACGAGGAAAATGTCAAGGCTCCATTCTTGGAGCGAGATTATGGTCGTCTTCTGAGGTACGCAAACATTCGTATTTTTTTGTCTCTTTTTATAGCTTCAAGCAGGAAATAAAAGAGAAATTAAGAGAACGTTTAAAATTTCATTATGTTCTTTCACAAGAAAAATATGATTTTTGATTTTTTAGAAATAAAAATGTACAAAGAAAAGTAAGACGCATACTAAAAATATATTTTTGATAATTATATAATTAATAATAATAATAAACCAATCCTCAATTATATTATGAATTAGAATTCGATTTTGCTAACTTTTTGCGTAAAAATATAATTTGGATCACAACAAAAAGTGTCATATTACGAATTATGTATTCATGTTGTGATCTCATTGATGTATAATAGCATACTCACAATAATTCTTTATGTAAATTGCACCAATCTGTGCAATTATTGCTGAATGAAATTATTGTTTATGAATTATGCAAAAAAGCGCAGTATGCGCATGAACTAAATGCGACGCGCGTTGCTCTTTATTGGATATAAGAGACTCAACTTCTCGGCGATTGCCATACTCGTTTCGAGGAGACGGACTGGTTGCAGATGACATTTATCTCTCGTTACTCTGACATTCAAATCCAAGCTGGCGCATCTCTAATTCCAAGATATTGTGAACGGATACAATATCGCTTATTAAAGTTCTACACAGAAAAATGACAGTATTTAGAAAACAATTTTTATATGTCTACATCGATCTTTTCCTAAGAAATAAATTATAATTTACAATATATATTTATTATCAGAATTCAATTTTGACTCAAATCATAGGTATGGTGCGATTAATTTTGAACGATCATGCAATGACGAGTTGCATCGTTTTCTAATTCGGTGTTATATGCTAAGTTGAGACAAACGACGCAGGATGAATGAATCGCTCGAAACGAAGCGATGTGTTGGCTTTTCGGCTATGACGGTCACGATCTTTTTACTTTGAGAAGAAAACGCGACGGGACGATTTCCACCGGCGAATGAAGACGCAGTTATCTTCTCCCGCTCTCATCCTCGCGCGAAGATGATAAAAGCATGCCGGGCGGCGGCAACGCGTCGTAGTCTTCCTTTCGGGATCGGGCCAGAAGGAACGTGGATTTCAACGACGACGATGGCCTCGAGACCAATCGTCCATCTGCTAATCGCCTGCGGAATTCTCGCCGCGACAATGTGTGAGTAAGAGTTTACCCTGCGGTGCTCTTTCGCATGTTCGAGAAAGTGAAATAATCATCCGTTCGCCAATCGCAAAGAACGGACAAGGATTATCACTATTGCCGTGCCACTTTGATTCTAGAGAAACAGTGATGTGATTTTTCTGACGGCACAAGTGTGACATTTTGTCTCAGATATATAGTATTCTCTGTGTGTACGATAAAAAAAGTCCTCTCTCGATGTAAATCTTCTTTTATGTGCGACACGAATTTTTGGATAACACTAATTCTTGTGTCTTTCCTTCTTCTTGTTAACAAATGACCAAATCGTTTAACAAATATTTGACTGTGATATTATTTCAAGCGATTTAATTTGGACAAATGATGGCAGAAGAAAGTCAAAATAATTATAAATTGAAGGAGACACGTTAAATTTTAGTATTAAATTATAATTAATATGCAAACTTGTTTCTAATATTCTAACTTTTAATAATTGGTTTACTTATTTATTGATTAAATTTCTGGTACATAGTTTAACGGAAATTGAATTGCTTGTACGAGAGATGTGTACATATTTCCAAGCTATATTATGTAACATTATATAATGTTACGCAAGTAAAAGTAATTACGATACGTAATTCAAAGAGTTAACAAGGTTGGCTAAACTCCAAGACGCTTAGGAAATTTGTGTACATTCAATTTTATAAATGCAACGCGGCCTGAATAGCAGTTTACTGTCATATATTATTATACGTATGCTCAGTCACGAGCGCATAGGTAATTTGTATGCGATACGCTGATACACTGTCAGAGAAATGAATTTTAAGCTCAAAACTTAGATAGCGTGAATATTAATCCTCCGTTGTGTCGTTAGATTTATAACGGCCATTACATTAATAAGATCTTGATGCGATCATGTTATAAGTTTAAAAAATGAATATTTTTGTCCTTTCGTTTTTATTGTGAGAATAGCTCGATTAATGCATAATGTGCATTTCAGTGTTCTTTCTTAACCAGAGAAACTCTTTCGACCTTCGGACAAGAAGGACTCGATAGGTGGGATTAATGCTCGTCCTCGTCGGCCTAACGACAGATAATCGAGTTTGTAATCAGCAAAACTTTCTCTCTCGTTGTTTGCACTTATTACCTTGCGCAATTTCTGCCCCGCGGAAATGTCTCGGGAAACATCTCTGGGAATAGTCGTCCATTTTCGTGCGCAGAAGCATTGTTACATAGAAAGAACGAGTTTGCTGAAGAATCTAAAAATTCAGTTAAATTCAGATCTAAAAATAATTTTGTTGGACCATTAAAATAATTGAAATCATAAACAATCCTGCAGAAGTTTTTACATTCTAATAATTAAAGCATCCTACATGATTATTTTGATGGTCCAATAAAATTATTTTTAAATCTATGCTTACTGAGAAAAATGTTTTATATGATTGAATTTGGTTAGAATAAAAATTTTTATTAGAACAACAAAATTTTTTAATTAAAAAGTAAGAAAGTTTTAAGTCACCATATCATACACAACATTTATCTCATTATAAATTTTTGGATACTTCGATCATCCTATCCACGTATCATTGCTCAGCTTTTCGTAACGTCCTGAAATTTAATTATTAATATTGAATCGGCTTTTTTGGGCCTCAACTAAATATATTTTATCTCATTAATGTAGAAAAAGGATGCAACATCGAGAAAAACTCTTCGTACGATTCATGTCTACTCAGTTCTACAACTCACGGTTAACTCTTTCCGATTCAAGAATTGAAAAGAGATGAGAAATAAGTTGAACTTCGATTAACTGTGAGTTGTGAAACTGAGCTTTAGAACTAGAAAAAGATACAAAATAAGTTAAACCAAAATTAAAATTAATACATTCATAGAAATGGATATTAGTCTTGTTTGTAGCGCGATTACTTATTCTTTGGAAATCCTTGTTGAGATTTCATTTTATCTATTGAAAAACGTCCTCGAACCGATCAGGTCCAATTTGATATTGTCTGGAAATGGCGGTTACAAACGCGTTGCGCAAGTGATGCGCATGTAACATTAATATGTGCAACATCTTCGTAGAGGTCGAACATCGGCAACCGTCGAACTTTCGCCGCGCGATAATCACATACACTGCATTAATGTTACTCATTAATACTCTCTCGACGGACTCGTTTGACGAGTTTTATGCGCAATATTAAACTAAATCGGTATCTCAGAATCGTTTATTCCGCGAATTTGGTAGCCAGATTTATAAAAGAGGGAACGCTTCTCTTCAAATCGTTAATCAAGCTCGGTACATGCAAACGCAATTTAGGATATAATAAATAAAGGAAATAATGGTCAATAATACAAATCAGTTAAGGAGGATAAGAAGTTAAAACAATACACATTTATTATCATGTCATAAATAATAATAAATTAATTATATATCTAATAATATAATTTTTATATTATTTGCGCAAGTGATGCGCATGTAACATTAATATGTGCAACATCTTCGTAGAGGTCGAACATCGGCAACCGTCGAACTTTCGCCGCGCGATAATCACATACACTGCATTAATGTTACTCATTAATACTCTCTCGACGGACTCGTTTGACGAGTTTTATGCGCAATATTAAACTAAATCGGTATCTCAGAATCGTTTATTCCGCGAATTTGGTAGCCAGATTTATAAAAGAGGGAACGCTTCTCTTCAAATCGTTAATCAAGCTCGGTACATGCAAACGCAATTTAGGATATAATAAATAAAGGAAATAATGGTCAATAATACAAATCAGTTAAGGAGGATAAGAAGTTAAAACAATACACATTTATTATCATGTCATAAATAATAATAAATTAATTATATATCTAATAATATAACGTTTATATTATATTAATAATGATATATTAATATAATATGAATGTTTCAACTACACTAAGTCTTCCTCAGCATGAAAATTTAAAAAGATAGTGACATTAGAATAAAATCATAAATTAAATTGGAATATAAGTTAAAACTAATGTGGTATAACATTTTTCTATAACTCTGATTTTTTTTACCTACAATCATTTGATAAAATATCTTTATTATTATTTTTATAAAAATAACTAACAAACTAAATTATTTTATTACAGTTTAACTCATTGTTATTATAGTTTAATTTATATTTATTACAGTTTAATTTAAACTTGAGCGAGACCGTGAATATTTAATGGATGCGAATGTCTATATAAGCGATTTAAAAAATGCATTCTGTATTTGAAGTGAAAATTTTTTTAAACGATTATTGCTATTTCAGCACTCAATCAAAACAGCAGATTCTCGAATCAGCTGTTCGACAATCAACTTAATCGCGGTCTGCAACAATTCTCACCGAAACGTGGCCAATCCACGTCGTGTCCGGAGAAGAACGGTCGTTTTCCGGTACAGAATCAGTGCGATGCTTACATCGAGTGCATCGATGGGATCGCTGAGGAAAAGTTATGTCCTGAAGGTTTATTCTTCAATCCTGAAGCTCGCTTCAATTATCCCTGCGGATATCCGATCGACATAGACTGCACGGGCAGGCCGAATTTGCGTAAGTTCCTTGTAATATTTTGTTTTTACAAATTTTTATCACAAATATTCTAACATAAAATTTTAACGAAAGACATGAAATAGTTAGATCTCACGTTTTATTTATCTAAAATCATTGGAGATCCAACGAAAAAAATTTCTGGCGAATTAAGCTGATCGCACACGGAAAAAAAGATTTGTTAAAATAACTAAAAATTTCACTAATTCAGCAAATATAATACAAGCATAATATGGGACAGTCAGTTTTCTATGATAAAAGTAGCAAAGCTGTACAGCTGAATAAAATTAGTGATTATAAGCAATTACATATATATTTATTATAACAACGTAGTAAAAACTTTTTACGAAAATCAAATCAATATATAGGTCAAAATATTTAACTAAACATGCTAGCTAAAATCGCACATACTTTTGCTGCTGTATTGGAGAAAATAATTGTTATATTGGCAATTTTCGTTGTAGCAAAGAATTAGCTGAATCGGCATACTGATAATTGCTTAAGTTTGATTTCTTCTTTGAACCATCACAAATTTTCTTAGTTATAATGTGATTGAATTCGTGTAGCAAGCTATTATAACTTTGCTGAATTATCTAATTAATTTTTTTCCGTGCATCAAGACGTGATTGAATGATGAAATAATTCATGAAATTTTCTTCAGAGCCGGCAAATCCATCCAACGATTGTCCTCATCAATATGGCTACTTCAAGATCGGTGATCATCAACACTGCGGACAGTTTATGAACTGCGTGGATGGCAGAGGTTACGTGTTTGACTGTCCGGAGGGTTTGGCCTTCAATCCACAGAGTTATCGATGCGATTGGCCAGATCAAGTCCCGGACTGTGATGCCGAGACTTTCCTTGGCTTCCGTTGTCCGGAGGTGAGGAACGATTTCTTCTTGGACGCCGAAATTAAATTTTATCGTAGCCCTGCTGACTGCCATCATTATTATATTTGCGTAAACGGCCGTCCGAGACTGCAAAATTGTGGCATTGGAAATGCTTTCAACGAGCTCATCGACACTTGCGACGCTGCGGAAAATGTCACCGGCTGGTAAGTAATATTTAAAAACGTCTTTACTATAGAATACACTTTATCTTTACTCATATTTATTATGTAAATAATAGATATTTATAAACTTATTTATTTTTATTTATAACTTATTTATTTATGCTTTAATAAGTATTTAAAAAATACTAAAATAAAAATTTATGAAAAATGTAAAGTACCTACTTTTTAATTACAGAATGAGCCAATTTATTGTCACATGCACTCTAAAATTCTTATTCTTTTTTGATGTCATCGCTTATTATAAATAGAGAATATATATATATATATTTAATTTAATATTATAATACTTAATACTTTTTTCACAGCGAACACGAATCAATAGCAAGAACCACTCCATCTTACCAACGGGCTAGGCTGTTTTAAATTCTGATAGAATTGAAGAATGGAAATAAAAATTAACGGCATAGTAATTGCGAAAGAACAGAGATCAAGAATTTCAAATATTTCGAGATATGTAATATGATTTATTTTCGACATAATAAAATACCACGCAAATAATAATCCGTATAAGAATGATTTAAAACTGTTATGTTGATTAATGAGAATAAAATAAAAATCCAATTGCCATGCCGTGCGCTGATGCCATAAATAATGTATATACTATCGCTTTAAGAATATATATTTAATATAGAATTGTGTAGAAAACTTTTAATAAATAAAAATGTAAAAATAAATACCCATTTCCTAATGAACACCCTATGCGGTTGTTTTCTTTACAATTAAAGTTCAAGATTACAAACTGATATAGTTTTATGGCATTGAACTCTGCAATTGACAATTTACTCTAGTAAACTTTATTCAATAATATGACTTTATTAAGTGTTTTCTTAATAATGAATTTCTGTTTTGAGATTTATTTGCTACATATAGCACATCAGTGTTGTAATAAACACTTAATGACTGCAGGTAAATTTATGCTCCAATATTACTGCTTAATTTCATCAAATGATATCGTTTCAAAATATGTTAGTAACTGAAGGTAGTATCATCAGGTTAATATGTTTCTCTCAGGGTTGTGCTGTACATTTCAAGATTATGTTATTTTTACGTATTATTTATATTAAAATTTACACAAATTTTTTTCATATAAATAATACAAACAGTGTAAAATATGTAAATTATTATTAATTAAACAATACAATACAAACAAAAGTAATTAAGTTTTATGATTGTTAATATATCTCTGACCTTAATATCAATAAAGCAAGATAGACTTAATATTGATATAAGCAAGATAAAAGCTTTAGTACAGTTTAATGCAACGACAAAGAACAATGCTGATGCAGTTGATGGCAGACTGCCGTCATTTTCTGCTCGAATCTGCTGACAGTCTGTTAGAAGACAGCAGACATTTTGCTATCTGGGTTAGTGTTAAATTTAATGTACACGTAAAGATAAGGATCGATAAGCACCAGGTATTTTTAAAAGATAGAATAAATTCACTTGTGCGTATAGAATATACAATTATTATTGACATGGTACAGTTACTTAAAAAATATATATAGATACAAATTTGGATGTGCGTGTGTGTGTACGTCGTTGAAACGTATAGGTGCAACGTAAATACACACGCGGTAATTATTAACGAGTTACACGCACATCTGGCGACACGTACGAATTTTCTAGATTCTATCTAAATTAAATCGCTAGAAAGATGTTCCGGAGTAAGTTCGCAAAAATATATATCTACACTCTATCTACGGCTGACTCAAAGGCGCACTCGTTTCCGCTCGTAATTAAAGCGCGCTAATTAGTAGGAAATTAAGAGAATTTACGAAAGTAACGCGAATCATACGACCGGCATTACGTTACGGGTGTGCCGCTGTCGCACCTGATAGCAGAATGCGTATAATTAAATATACGAAACGAATTATGCAAACTGTAAGCCGCGATCTCTCTTCCCTCGGCTTTCTCACATCGTTATTGTAACACATCCATTAAATCGACTATATGTTTTGCATGTTACTTCGAGATATCTACATTTTATCGAGCTACCTTCGTATCTAGATATTTGAGCAATGACGTTTCATCTAATTGCACTTTTTGATATCATAACGAATTAATTCGAGTATTAAACAATTCGATTATCTATGCATGCGACATTCAGTTCGATATATTCCAATATATACATGACAATTAAAATTATTTAAATCTGTAAATGATAGTTTCGAAAAATGTTTTATCAAAAACATTTTATACGAAATTCTAGGAAGATTCTTCTATTGAAAATATTTTTAGGTGTACTGCACTGACGTGAGTGCAATGCATAGTCGCAAATATTTTATTAAAGTCTATATTCGACTTCATCTCGATAAAATTATTAATTCGACTCCAATATATACATGACAATTAAAATTATTTAAATTTGTAAAAAAATATAGTTTCGAAAAATGTGTGCTTTATCAAAAATATTTTACAAATTCTATGAAGATTCTTCTATTGAAAATATTTTTAGATATACTGTGAATACAATGCATGGTCGCAAATATTTTATCAAAAATATATTCGACTTTATCTCGATAAAATTATTTATATGACCAAAAAGACGGCTGCTAATTCATTATCGCGCTACGTACGAGCAAGATGCTAAGAACACTGATAAACCGTAGGGCGTAGTTTCTTCGGCAATATTCGGCAACGTTCAGAAATTCGCGTTTCGCGCATCTGAATCATTCGCTCGACGAATGATTGCGACATAAATCGCTTCACAGTCGCGCGACTATCTTCGCTTAATGTCTCTCGCGCTAACACGTCCCGAGGACACAACTTAGGAACCGACTTCTTTGCTTTCTTACTTAACGCTAACGATAAGTGCGACTTCTTTTTTCATACGAGACCACGCCAATAATGTTTCCTCGCTTCCCTCTCTGATCCAATCGATGATTGCGAGTCGATCGGAACGCATTAACTTTAATAAGTGTGAATCCAGCGCGAAGCGCTATGGCAATGGGCTTAGGAGAAGGAGGGAGCCCTCTTCTTCGGATATTCTTACGTATTGCGTGTTAAAAAAAAAAGAAAGAAAAAAAATATAAATACACTAAAGAGTTCTAAAGGATTCACGAATTACCAAAATCAACGGAATCGAGGAAACACGAGATTCGAAGAAAACGAAACGATGGAACGTTCCTTTTTTCCTCCCTATGAACGCTCTCACCAGGAGCGATTTCGGCACATCCGGTTACGCATTTCGTGACGGCAACTCTGCGTCACTTCGTCAAACGCTGTGCCTTCTTCGCACACGAATCGGAAATCCAGCACTTGCCGCGAGGTAAAACCGGGCGAGCAATAGTGGAACAATCGACAGTCCCTGAAGTCGCCGTAGAAGCGATACATTTCTTTCTCCAGGCAATTAAAGCTCGCGTGCTTTCGCGGTTTCACGAGTTTCCGGTTGCTTGATCTGAGGATCGCAGCTTCCATCGACGCACCGGGATCGGAATCCTCCGCCTTAGGCAAGACAGTCGTCAAGACTGAAACCGACGTGGCGCGTTCGGGAATTGCTGATAGACTTTGGAAGTGGAAGCTATCGTGGTCTCCGTTATTTCGAAGTATTTCTCAGTACTTGACGTGATCTCAGCGTATTCGGATTTTTCGGACAGCAACGTCGTCGGTGGAATAGTTGTTGAAACGAGAGTATCAATGTCCTCTGTCGTTTCCTGCGGTTTAATATCTATTTCCTTCGTTGTCCACTCGATGGAAGGCGCGAGAGTGGATATTTTAGATAGAGGGTAAGGAGTGAAAGTTTCGATTTTCGTGGTCGTCGTTCCCGGATCAGTGGTTTTTGAAGAGTTGGCCGAAGTATTTTGCTCGGACGGATTCGGAAATTGATCTTCCTTATTCGTTTGATCGTTGTTTACAGGAGAATCGAGAGAAATATGTTCGTTCACTTCCAATTTGCTCTCGAGACCGTTCTCCTCGCTTCTGCTAGACTCCGTCGTCGTCGTCGCTGCCACCGTCGTTATCGTTGCCGCCGTTGTTGTTGCTTCTACTGTCGTCGTTGCCATCGTTGTCGTTGTTGCTGCTGTCGTCATCGCTGTTGCCATTGTTGCTGCCGTCGTCGATGCTGCCGTCGTTACTGTCACAGGCTCCGTCGTCATTTCCGGATTCTCAGTATTCAACATTTCTGTAGTAGTAGTAATAGCTTCGGTGGTAGTGGTGGTAGATTTTCGTGTAGGTAAAATGAGTTTCCTGATTGTTGGTTTCGGCACCAATTCATTATAAGATTTAATTGGTTTCGCCGGCTTCGGATTAAATAGGCCCAATCTCGGTTTGATCACGACCGGATTCGGAGTCGTCGTAGGAGGAATATAAGCATAAATTCTTTTGTTTCCAGTAGGCTTTAAGATTTTCGGAGGCGTGGCATGAAGGGTGGTAGTTTTCGGTCGACGAGTGGTAATCGTCGATCGAGGAGTCGTGATCGTAGTTGTGATCGGAGTCGAGCTCGATGCCGTTGTGATTGACTCTGTTGTGATTGAGGTTGTCGTGGTCGACGCCGTTGTACTCGACGCCGTTGTGCTCGACGCCATTGTAGTCGATGTCGTTGTGCTCGATGTCGTTGTAGTTAATGCCGGTGTTGTGGTTGACGAAGTTGTGGTTAAACTTGCGATTTCCTGGAAATCCTTAATCTTCGTGACGTCGGCCATGTTATCCGTCTGCGTTTCCATCTCGATGCTATCATCACTCTTCTCTATATTCTTCGTACGATCGGGATCTTTCACTGACATATCTTTCTTCTCTTCATCGTTCTTCTCCTCACTCTTGTCCTCTTCAAATTCGTTCGATTCCGTCGCAATTTCTGTCTTGTAATTTTCTGGCTCGTAATTGTCATCTATGTAATCGTGCACGTCACTTTCATTAGATGTCGACGATTCTTCCGTTGTCTCCTCGTCCTCGTTATCGTCCGATAATGGTAATTCGTCTGTGAATTTCAGGACACCCTCAGTACTGCTCTCGCCATCTTCGATCGAACCCGCGATGTCTTCCTGAGAATCGGTGTAGTCCTCAGAATTTGTATAATCCATCATGGAACTCTCGGTACTTTCCGAGTACTCTTTGTAATCCTCTTGAATGCTGCGCGTACTCTCCGCGGACGATTCCGTTATATCTTGATACTCGTTCAATTCTTCGGAATTTACCTCTTCACTGTAATTCGCAGTTGAATTCTGCTCTTCGTCTGAAATATCAGTGCTCGATTTCTCGCTTGCATCTTCGCGATAAGTTGATTCCTCTTCCAAGTTACCTTCACGAGAAGTCGCAACTTCGTCAGAAGAAATCTTGCTAGATCGGTCCTGCGAGCTCTCTTCGAGTCCTCTTTCATTCGTATCAGTTTCATCATCACCCGGAAATTCGTACTCCTTGTAAAGATCTTCCTCTTCGGTGGAAGACTTCTCTTCAGAGACATGTGTAACTTCCGTTGATCTCGCTTCTTTTGCACTACTCGGATTTTCGGTCGTATCTTTTTCTTCAGTAGTCTGCGTATAATCCGGCAATTCAGTTTCTTGTTTTTCCTCCTCTATTTTATCAGCATGTAGTTCCGAACTCCTCGTATGCTCTTCCATAATCTGCCGACCAAACGATCGCTCTATGTCCTTACTCCTACTAGCATCGTAATTTTTACCGTCC